CACACACACACACACACACACACACACACACACATGCACAATCAGTTTTATTTCTGTCATTCTTTCTTCTGTTGTCTGTTCTTCCCCTGACTTTTTCTAAGTATTTTTTGTCTGCCCAACTGAGCACCCTTAAGTAGTGCCAAACAGTCGGTGGTTCCTCGTTTGGAGTGCCTACTGCACTCTTATGGGGGCTGCTCGGTTCGGGATGTCTGTGTTGCCTGTCGGTGATGACGGATGTTCGTCAGAGTGACTCCCTGGCTCAATGGGTGGTGGGAACCAACGGTCTGCGGTGTTCAATCGTGATGTGAGTAGGTCATGTGCTGCTTTGCTCCGTGTTGGATGTGTGGACGTCGTCGTCTGCGCTCCGCCACTGCCTTGCTGCCTGTCCCGCTTGCTTCGTGTGTGGTTCTTTGCGGGTTGATGTGTTCGCTGTGCGGTGTGGCCGTGTTGTTGGTGTTGTCTTGCACTTCGCTGCTCCGCTGCCGTGCTGCTCATCCGTTGGCCGTGCCTTCCGTGCTTGCCGCTTGTGTGCCCTGTAGGTTGGTTGCCTTGTTGCCGTTGCCTTGTGCTCCGTTCCACGGTTGCCCAGCTGCTGGTTCACTAGCCCTGTCGTCCCCTGCAGTGCTGTTGCCTTGCTTGTGTTGCCCTGTGCTTCACTACGCGGCTGCCGCGCTGCGTGCCGTGTCGTTTCTTGCAGTCGATTTTGTCATTGTGCAGCCGTGTTGCCTCTACTGTGTTGCCTGGTGCTTCACAGGGTTGCTGCCCGCTGCTATGTTCCTCTTGGGGACAGTCTGCCTTCACCAAGGGTCAAAGGGTTCATAACCCAAACCATCAAACACGGGGATTCCGCAGATTGTCGAGGGTTCAGCCTCCTGATGAGTCGGTGCAACTCCGACGAAACAATCTATTACGTTTTGTTTTTTTTCGCTTTGTTTTTTTTTGCTGTTTGTTCTTTTGTCTGCTTTGGTGTCTTGTTGCCGGGCTGTTGTTCTTTTCTTGCTGAGTGTTGTTTGCCTGCCCACCTGAGTGCTGTTTTGTGTAAAGGTCGGTAATATCATGGTTTGTGTGCTGTTTTCGTAACCTGAACACCTGTGCATGTTGGATGTGGAATGGTGGTGAAACCTTGGTATGGTCTTTATCCTTAGACCATCATCTTGCGTTGCATGAACCCCAAGGATACGGTGTGACTCCTTCCATGGTGTTGTTTTGCAGCGCAATTCGTGATGCAACATGCTGTGACATGGTCACAGAAGCCACGCAATAAAAACGTAACACACACACACACACACACTGTGTTTTTTCGCGCATGTGTGCTTTCATGCATTCGTTCGTTCGTGTGTGTGTGGGTTGTCATGTTCGCTATACAGAACTCCACAAAAAGAGCATGACTGAGCCGGACTGTTTCGTTGGACTTTCATTGACTAATCAGGAGCTTCATAACCGGCAATCTGCCCACAATGCATTTGCACGCTTGCGTGTGCGCATGAGCCTGTGCAATGCCATGTTCGCTACACACAACTCCACAAAAGCAGGCATGCCTGAGAGAGAGAGAGAGGGAGGGAGGGAGAGAGAGGGTGTCTTCGACCGTGGGCAACAGCCGTCAGTTGCACGACAGGGCTGAACGATGCCGCGTGTTGAGGAGTGTGCACGCCTAGAGTCGTTTGTCGGCTTCGTTAGGTCCAGTAGAGGCATTGGACTCGAGTAGAGTGAGCGCGCCGCCCTGCAACGATGGCCCCTCTTTTCAATGGGCGCGACGATCCAGGTCGCCCATGGTCCTACCACGTCGATGGCTCGGATCGTCCCGCAATCTTAAGACTTTAAGATCGCACAATGATCCAGGCCGCCCGGCAGGGCGGACGGCCTGGATCGTCGTGCGTTCTTAAAGTCTTAAAGTCTTAAGATCGCGCGGAAATCCGGACGGTCGGGCCGGTACGACCGTGGGCACCCCGGATCCCCCAATTCTCACGTTAGCGATTTCTAAAAGTGTAGGGACAGTTTGAAGTTCAAACCAAAAGAAAGATCATCCTGAATAAGACAATGGATCTCTCCTGTGTCATAGCAAGTTTTCAATGCAAAACTCTACACAAAGGCAATGCCACTTACTCCCAACTCAAATGAACGGGATTGGAAAGAATGGAGATTGTAAGAAGATGGAGATGATAAACATAAGCTGGAACCGAAGTCTCCTCTCCCTTGTTTTGCCTCCATCACCTCTCCCTCATCATCTCCACCATCATTGTATTAATAGTAATAAACATTGACAACGAAATGTGGAAGCCAGAATCAATGCCCAAAGTATCCCCTTACTGCCAGCATGTCCAAACGAGCTCTCTTGGCTCTCCTACACCTCACTCTACCTAGTGGATGGCTACCAGCTCTGGCAGGGCATCCAAGGTGACCTTGGATGTTCAAAGGACAAAGCAAATGCTTTCATGTCCTTCCCTTCTTCGCTAATGCCATGCCCACACTCGCAGATGAAGTACCAGTACACTTCAACCCCCTTAGGGGCCTTCCAGGTGCAGCGCTTACCGAGATGATAAAGCTGCAGGTCCACCATAGCCAACATATGTTTCCCCATTCACTCTCCTCCTTCACATTCTTCTTCCTCCTTCTTCCTCCCTCCTCCTGGCTGCTGCTTGGTGATGTTTCAGCCAAGCTCCAGGTCCAGGAGCCAGTCTATCACCAGCTGAAGAAAGAGGAGGAGCAACTCATGGCTACTACTAATATACTTGGGTGGCTGGTTCATTCCTCCGGTGATTTCCAGCCTACCCAGGCCCTACCAGTTCCTGCCCATTTTGGCGGGAAAAGTCTTGCGAACTGCTACCCTACCTACAGGACCTGGATCTAGACTCTTTTCCAGACTGTATACGGCCGTACCTTCCTGATTTCTACCTTAGGCGTACCGGACTCAGGAAATTCCTCAGCCTACCCAAAGTCCTATTTTGTCTTCTTCTGCCTGCCTACCGATTACTGCCTACTCCCGGCCACTTTGGGCTACCTACATCAGCCCAGCGCCAGGTGCACAGGCCACCACCCCATCAGCGTTAGTGCCAGGCCCAAGAGGGCCAAATCGATCATACAGGCCATCACACCCGGTCACACGCACGATCAGAGCTCAGACAAGCACACAGCACACAGATATCAGCACCCTCAATAACAGGAACAGACTCAGACATCAGAAATCTCAGCAAACACATAGAACAGCTGCAAAACATTAAAAACCCCAGAAATCTCGGTCTGCAAGGAAAATGAGCAAAGTGAATGACAGAAACCAAATTGCATCATCCCATAGAGGTCCAGATTGTCATGAGCAAAGTGAATGACAGAAACCAAATTGCATCAGAGATTGTCATGAGCAAAGTGAATGGCAGAAACCAAATTGCATCATCCCACAGAAGTCCAGATTCACTGTGCATCATCCCATAGAACAGCTACAAAACATTAAAAACCCCAGAAATCTCGGTCTGCAAGGAAAATGAGCAAAGTGAATGACAGAAACCAAATTGCATCATCCCAATGAGCAAAGTGAATGACAGAAACCAAATTGCATCATCCCATAGAAGTCCAGATTGTCAGTGAAAGCAGAATGCAATACGAGGTACACCAAGTAAGAGCAAAGCAATGAAGTCAATTGAAAGCCCTCTCCTCGCCTCCAACATCAATGTCCCCTATGTTGCTCTCCTATATGGCACTTGGCGCCCAGAGTACAGTCAAACAGTATTTGTCACCCAGACTCCCTACTGACGACCACAGGTCTTCATGAGTAACAGCAGCCCGATGATGAATGAAGACTCCGACTCTGGCAGCCCGCTCTCATCATCACCTGGTAAGCGCTCTTATGCCCCCCTCATCCCTCGACTTCCACACATCATCCCCTTCTCCCACGGACCACTGTTCGACCTCCCTGGCTATGGCGCAGGCAGCCTGGCTGTGGCTGCCTCGCGTACCAGCTGCGCCCAGGCAGCTTCTTCCTTGCGCCCCGCCAACGCCCTTCCACTCTGCCCGACTCCAGAGCAGCAAGCCAGCGCTCCAGCAGTGCTGCCGCCATCCAGCCAGCCAGAATGTGATGAAGTGAGGGAGCTCAGTTCCTTCTGTGCTCTGGCTGGGTGGGTGAAACAGGCTCTGGATGCTCAGCCTCTGTCCCAGTATCTGCGCCCAGGGCCCTTCCAGAATGTGCCTGGGGTTCAGCTGTAAGTTCCCTGGGCTGCAGCACCTTTGCTGGGCCTAGTAACTTCAACCGACCGGGCCTACCGGTCGGCAACAACCAGACCACAAGGCCCTGCCTGCCCTTACTGGCCTCAATTTCATGCCGCGTTGAATATTCAGGGGCCCGCCTTCAGTTAGGACGTGTGCAGATAGTTTCCAGCGAGCGCAGGCCCTTACCAACCTGCCAAGGGCCCTATGCCTTGCAGGTCTGCAATTTTGCAGTTTATTCCACCTGCAAAGAAAAGAAAAAAAAAAAAGAAAAAAAAAAGAAAAAGAAAAAGAACACGAATGCAGAATCTACAGACAGACCGAGAATTAAAACTGATGACAAAATGAAGTAAGGGCCGTTTCCCGGCTTCTTCCCTACAGTATGCAAAATTAATGCACGCACCCACCGTATTCAGAGTTACAGCTTGGGTTGTCCAGATCCAGATTTGGCTAGGATACCAGGCTGGACGTCTGGCAGGCAGATTGGGCTGTTGCTTTTTCACTGCAATCAGACACACCCTACACATGGTGTTGGACAAACTGAAGAAGAGGTCAAAAGGCATCCCTGATCAAGGACACAGAGGGCAGACCGTGGACCCTCCGGCCCAAAGACCGGAGATGGCTGTCTTGGGTGGAGAGAGGAGTATGGCAGGTCAAACACCTGTGGTCCTAGGACCGACAAGAATGGCATACTGCACAGGACCTTCGCACTCCCTTAAAAGGCTGCCACCTACTGACCACCAACCTGGCAGAAATCCTCCAAAGCCCCCCCCCCCCATGGACGACCCTCCTAAAAGAGACACATACATGGAAACCAAGAGACTGGGGACTACTCACCACACAGACTCCACCAACAAGTGCCTATCGCTTCGTCTCAAAACCGGCCTCAACTAACTACCAGGCCAATTTCGTATCCTACCCCATCTGCAAACACAACATATATGAACTAGAGGACCAAATAGTAGAGGTCCTAAACAAAACACCACAGCACGAACAAATAGAAACTACCTCCTCACGAAGGTTAGAGTCTCCCACAAGAAACTCTGGCTTATATTCCAGCCGGAACTCAGCATCAAAGAACTGGAATTTGACCCAAAGGAATGGATATGGGATCTAGGCGCAGCTGGTAAATCGAGGACGATAACAGAATACGACGTTAAGCTCGGATATAGCCTCGCGCTACAAACCAGAGACCCGAATCCAAGGCTGACAGAGAAATGGAGAACCATACTGAACCTAGATGCGAGGACCCCCATCTCCATCACATGGACCAAATACCTTCTCATCAGACCAATTAGAATCCGAAGTATGCAATGGCTAATAGCACATGGAGCCCTTCCAGTCAACAACCAATGGCTACACGTGAGAAGGAAACATTCCGATCTCGATAGCTCAGAATGCTGCTCAATGTGCAACAACGACTCACCCGAAGACATCCCCCACTGCCTCCTCTTCTGCCCAGAAGCAACCTGGATATGGAAGAAGGTCCGTGAGCTATGGTTGATCCTGTTCGCCTCGCCACCCCCTAACGTCCCCCCTATCTCTATCCTACTCCTAACTAACATCCCCAGCAACATAACAGGCAGCAGGGAAGTATGGTTCACCCTGCTCAGGAAGCTGGCTTTGTGGGTGATATGAAAACGCAAGTGCACTCAGACAATCGAGGGAACAAAGGTGGCAAGGGAAGAAATGTGGTCACTACTGCTGAGCATGGCAGAGACGGAAATCAGAAGCAGATGGCGGAGAATAGTGAACTCAACGAGGCACAGACCAGAAGGACAAGCAACCAAGAAACGTATGTTAATAAGGAACTGGTTGCTAAAGGGCAAGGTGGCAACGATAAGTGACAACAAACTGAGCTGGAAGACATGGCATCAGACACAATCATGAAGACTACGAGGGTACCTGTCGAGAGACCTGGCAGAGGCGCTGTATGGTGATCAACAAAACGAGGACCGGAAACACAGGGAAGGACAAGCACAAACAACAGAACACAGAGCGGACCCCCCCCCACTGTTCTCGTAATACAGGGACTCATTCGACAGGCCCTAAGTAGAAGCCTGAGAGGAACAGATGGTCAGGGCAAGCTGACAGTCAATCTTCCTTAGGAGGAGTAATCAATGCTGGTCAGGGGTCCTTCGGCCAGATGGAAGGAAACGTTGAGTGATTAATATGTTGTAACCCTTTTTCGACTTGCCGGGGGAATAGGAACCGGGCTGACGCTGGAAGGGGCTGTAAAAATATTTTGACTTGCCGAAAGGAAGACCTCCCTTTGGGTCATATGGAAGGAAAGATGCAGCAGAACGATGGAGGGGGATGCAAATGCATGGGAGAGAGTCTGGGTGGGGACAAAGGTTCTGATACAGGCAGAAATTCTATGCAGATGGAAGAGGATCTGGAGTACATAGACAGACGATAAAGAGCAGCAGAAGAAGGCTAGAAACAAGTTCATCAAGACATGGATGGCAGAGAGGAGGTTGCTGAGTTGAGGAATGATCGCATTTGTTGGAAGGAATGGCACAACTCCGCTTCAAGAAGGAATCTGAAACAGCAAAGCACGGAATCAGGGAATGGTACCCTCGAGCCAGAATCTAACCGAGACAGCTCTGCTTTCGGGTCACTACTTTTGATGTACAACAGTGGAGACCAGGATGCAAACTAGTAATAAAGGCGAGCAAGGGAGGTAAAAGGGTCTAAGCAAAAAGTCTCGGAGCAATGAGGAAGGCGATCCTTAAATGGGAATGGTATATCGGGGAGCCGTTAAGAAGGACGAGGGTTTAGGGTTCTGGGTTTAGTGGTTGCTCAGGTAAAAGGAAAAGCAGGTGGAAGGGGAAGGGCTCGGGTTGATGATCACAATAGAGGGACTCTTTCTAGGATTCAGCGATGGAATTTGGCA